GTCAAGAGATCGAGACCATCCTGGTCAACACGGTGAAACCCCATCTGTACTAAAAATACAAAAAAATTAGCGGGCCATGGTGGCACGTGCCTGTAATTTCAGCTACTCGGGAGGCTGAGGCAGAAGAATTGCCTGAACCCAGGAGGCAGAGGTTGCGGTGAGCCGAGATCGCACCATTGTACTCCAGCCTGGGTAACAAGAGCGAAACTCTGTCTCAAAAAAAAAAAAAAAAAAAAAAAGAAATTAAACAGTGCCAGGTGCGAGGGGTAAAGCTGTCATGAAAGACATACAACTTACAGATAATGGGGGCTCTGGGCGCCAACTGAACCTGCATTCCCAGGCTCTGCTGGTACCACTTAACTTATCAACGAATGCATTCCTGGGTGCCCAGTGTCAGCCTGACCCAGCTTCATACTATAGTCACAACTTAATGGTGAGAAAATAACTAAAATGAAGAAGCCAAGATGGAGTCTGTCTGGCTCAAGAAGCTAACATAAAACCTGGACAGCTTTTAGTCTGAGAAAGAGTTAGTTTTAGCTGGCAAAAAGCAGGTTATTACAATGTGAGGTAGTAAAGAATAACAGTAAAGAAGCATCACTTGTGACAATGGAAGTTTTAGGGGTGAAGAGAGATACGCTTGCATTTCACATAGGAAGTTCTGTAGTCGATAAAAATGGATGCAGAAGGTGAGGTCAGTTCCAAGCATTGACCAGGGCCCTTGTTGGCTACCCAATATGTGAGATTCTGCCCCTAAAGCTGCTGCTGCCTATGGAGGCAGACATGGGTCCTATTTTTTCTTTTAACATGGTCGTGTGTCTGGTAGTATCAAGGAGAAGGGTTTTCTGAAAGAAATTAAAGACTTGAAACCTTTTGCATAATTTATACTGGCTTGATTGATATCATGGGTTGAGTTGACTACCAAGAAGGGTGGCTGATGCAGAATTCAGTGGCATCATTTTGGATGGATGGTCCAGGAGTTAGAACATTTGGGAGAAGAATAGAAAATCTAATTTGACATTGAAAATATTTAGTTTAACAAAAAAGTTTGATAAGTATCAATAATGGTGCTGGTTATGTTGCACTGTGCTTGGCCAAAAGCACCCATGATGGTTCTGCAATTTATAGTAGCACAGATGCATACAAGTGCCTAGCCAATGAGTGTAGCAGAGGAGAAGAAGCTTGAAACAACGAGGATGGGTTTAAGAAAATCTTTAAAGGCTCCTTTAGGTTGTGTTAAAAATATTTTGTTAGCAGGGAGAAGGTTTTGTATAGAGAGGTCCTGGTGGTAGATGAGGCTAAGTTGGGCTAACAGGCTGAGGCATAGGAAGAATTGGTAGTTTTCCTAGTTGTTGAGTTGCTTGCAGAGTGGAAAAAAAAAAAAAAAAAAAAAAAAGAGGAGAGGGGCAGTTAGGGCTTATGAGGTCATTTAGTTAGAAGTACGAGTGATGACCATAGAACATTAGGCTGTATGGTTCCAAGGGAAGTAGAATACGACCAAATTGAGATGCTTGTTGAGTAGGAAGAGAAACTGTTACCCCAATGAGTATTAGAGAGAGAGAGATCACTACTCAGATTATGGCTTTGATGTTTAGGAGGGACATAGCAAACTCTTCCCTGGAGTGGCTGTTGGTTTACAGTAACAAAGACATTAGTAAATGTGCAGAGTATTATGAGTTGTAATATTAACACCAAAATATTACTAACATTGCTGATGGCCTAAAGCAGTCAAAAATAAAATAACTAAATTAGGTTAAAAAAATTAGTATTAGATAAAGCAAGCTCTTAATGGAGATCCTGGTGGTGTGCAAGTTAGGGTTAAAATAAGAATCAACAGTACCACTGCAAATAAGATTTCCAATATTGGGATTACCCGACTTTGAGGTAAAAGGAGGGAGAGCATTACTTATCTTCTCATTTTGAGAGAAATTTTTAAGTCCTCCTTTGGCTCATAGGTGTAGCTGAGTGTTAGTTCCATCACTATGTTTCCAGTTGTATTCAAAAGTAATGTATCCCGTTAGAGATGCCAGAAAACTTGATAGCTATTGGGGTGGAAAGTATGATAGTAAAATTGTTCTTTTGTAATGAGGTTAGTTGAGATCCGAGAGATGCATCTCTCCAGATTTTTTTTTTTTTTTTTTTGAGAGAGTTTCGCTGTTGTTACCCAGGCTGGAGTGCAATGGCGCGATCTCGGCTCACCGCAACCTCTGCCTCCTAGGTTCAGGCAATTCTCCTGCCTCAGCCTCCTGAGTAGCTGGGATTATAGGCATGCGCCACCATGCCCAGCTGATTTTTTTTTTTTTTTTTTTTTAAGTAGAGATGGGGTTTCACCACGTTGACCAGGATGGTCTCTACCTGTTGACGTCGTGATCCACTCGCCTTGGCGTCCCAAAGTGCTGGGATTACAGGCGATCTCTCCAGATTTTAATGAGGACTTGTCACCCTGCCTGGTTATGAGGGTTATTAGGGGAGCCAACTCCGAATTGTTTGTCCAAATTCCTGGATGGTTTGCATGTAGGTTATTAGGTTTGCATGTAGGATCTCCAATATAAGATTTCAGCCGGGCGCGGTGGCTCAAGCCTGTAATCCCAGCACTTTGGGAGGCTGAGGCGGGTGGATCACGAGGTCAAGAGATCAAAACCATCCTGGTCAACATGGTGAAACCCCGTCTCTACTAAAAATACAAAAAATTAGCTGGGCATGGTGGTGTGTGCCTGTAATCCCAGCTACTCAGGAGGCTGAGGCAGGAGAATTGCCTGAACCCAGGAGGCGGAGGTTGCGGTTAGCCCAGATCTCACCATTGCACTCCAGCCTGGGTCACAAGAGGGAAACTCTGTCTCAAAAAAAAAAAGAAAAAAAAAAGATTTCAAAGAAACTAAGGCATAGATATAATTTAGGGGTTGTTCTGATCAGAAGTGCCATGGGCAAGAAGCCATGGTAAAGAGGTATCCTGGCATCATTTGCTCAAGGTCCTTTTAATAGCTCAATTAGTCCCTCCTACCTTCCTGGAAGATTGTGGTTTTCAGGAGGAGTGTGAAGAGCATTTTATCCCTAGGGCTTTTGCCACTGTTTGTGTAGTTTGTAGAATAAAATATGGGCCATTGTTACTGGGTGGCGGATGGGTAGCTCTTTGGAAAGTGAAAGGTTTGGGTGATGTAGGCCTCATGCCATGCTGATTAGTCAGTAAACAGTAGGGCACATGCCAAATGACACAGAACTACCCAATTCTTCCTATGCCTCAGCCTGTTAGCCCAACTTAGCCTCATCTACCGTCATGACCTCTCTATACAAAACCTCCTCCCTGCTAACAAAATATTTTTAACACAACCTAAAGGAGCCTTTAAAGATTTTCTTAAACCCATCCTCATTGTGAAGACCATGGAAGCCCAAAAAGATAATTTCTTTCAGAATGATCTTGTATCTTTTTTCTCAACTCCCTGTATTTTTTCTATTCTGGTATGAGAGGCTTCAACCTAGGCAGTAAAAGGCATTTGTAGCCTCAATAGGCTAATTAAGTGACAATTAAGTGAAGTCTACCTACCATTCTTCCCACTGGTATGTAATTCAGGCAAGAAAAGATCATGTGAAACAGTGTGAAAGAGCAAAAAAAATAATAATAATAAAGAGGGAAGGAAAACCTATGATTGTAGAGGAGGATGATCCTGAGCTGTTCAAACAAGCTGTATATAAACAGACAATGAAACTCTTTGCTAAGCTGGAAATTAAAAGGAAAGAGAAGCCAAAGAGATGCATGAAAGGAAACGACAAAGGAAGAGATTGAAACTCAAGAAAAAGCCAAACGAGAAAGTGGCAGAAAAACTTTGAGGAAAGTCCAGATGTTTGTGTGGACAGCTGGCAGAATTTCCAAGCCAACACAAAGGGGAAGAAAGAAGAAAAATCATACTTTCCTGAGACCACCAAATGTAAAAATGGAGCAGCGTGAGTGACCACCCAGGGTCACAGGCACAGAACCTTCCCCCTGCTGTCTCCCTTACTGCTTCAAATGATGCATTCTTTCCTCCCACTTCCATCCCAACATAGAGTAGTATTTGCTTTTTAGACCATTTTGTTTTCAATACAATTTAATATTGATCAGAGTAATTTTTTTTTTTTTTTTTTTTTGAGACGGAGTTTCGCTCTTGTTACCTAGGCTGGAGTGCAATGGCACGATTTCGGCTCACCGCAACCTCCGCCTCCTGGGTTCAGGCAATTCTCCTGCCTCAGCCTCCTGAGTAGCTGGGATTACAGGCACGTGCCACCATGCCCAGCTAGTTTTATTGTATTTTTAGTAGAGACGGGGTTTCACCATGTTGACCAGGATGGTCTCAATCTTTTGACCTTGTGATCCACCCGCCTCGGCCTCCCAAAGTGCTGGGATTACAGGCTTGAGCCACCGCGCCTGGCCTCAGAGTAATTCTTTTGTACGTTGAAATGAGGGGCTTGGTTTAAAAAAAAGACCTTCCCCTCTCCCTGCCCTTAGAACCAGCCGGATTGGAAGGTGACACCATTGGTGCTGACTTCTCCCACAGCCTGTAACTTAATGTTTTGTACTTCACTGAATTGTGATGGTTAGAAACTCTGCAGATAGTTTGTGGAAATCATCCAATTAAACATATTGCTTAAAATGGTGTTGCTATGACTTGAGACAAGCCTGGGGCACCTTAGGAAGCCCTTTTGCTTCAGTTACTCGCTTCTGGGTGTGCTGTTTGAAGGCCCAGATGAGACAGGGAACACTTGTGGGCACGCAGAGCAGGCACCTGATGCCCTGTGTCATTTGGCATGTGCCCTCCTGTCTACTGACTATTCAGCATGGCATGAGGCCTACATCACCCAAACCTTTCACTTTCCAAAGAGCTACCCTTCTTCCACCCAGTACCATGGTGTCCTAGCCCGTCTGCATTTGTTAGTGGTAATCTTTATATGTAAAGAATTGTGTTAGTGGCAATATTGTTTTGTATAATAAATTTTTATATACAAAAAAAAAAAATTTTTTTTTTGGGCAGAGAAATGATTTACTTAGAGAAAAAGGAGATGAAAAGCTTCCATGAAGAGTGCGGAAGGGGACCCCAGAGGTCTTTCCTCCAGAGAGGAAAGACAGCTTCCACAAACGGAGTGTGAAAGGGGACCCAAGTATGGAATCCAGGAGAGGAAAAGCAGCTTCCACAAGTGTGTAAGGGGACTCCAGAGAGGTAAGTCCACCTGGATGAGGGAGACAGAGACCTTTAATATGGGAGGAATTTCCACCTTCTCCAAGCCCCGTGGCCAATGAAAAGAGTTCCCTTAAACTTCCGCTAGAGTGGTTGACTTTTGACCTTTTCCCTTGACCTTTACCTGTGCCTGCGAAAATTAAAACAGAAACTGTTAAAACTCATGGAAGGAGAAGCATGGGAGGAGGGTATGGCTCTGGAAAGTTTATGCCCTTAAAACTACACCCCCTTGTGGACCCAGAAAGAGAACACATTCCCTCATTTCCCCCTTTCAACAGGAAAGTTCAACTCCTGTTGGAACATGGGCATTGATCGCTCTTTACTTCCTGCTGAACTTAGGCATAGAAGGAGCCCTGTAGTTGAGGTTTCGTCCACAGGGGAGCCTTTCAGGGGTGCAGGTTGATCCTGAGGTCCACGATAGAGCTCATGAGCCAAGGGCATTTGGGGTTCCAGCAGCAGGATTGTGTGTAACCTTATGGTTACGGGCATGTGCCACCATGCTTGGCTAATTTTGTATTTTTAGTAGAAATGGGATTTCTCCATGTTGGTCAGGCTGGTCTCCCTAACTCCTGACCTTGGGTGATCCTCCTGCCTCAGCTTCCCAAAGTGCTGGGATTGCAGGTGTGAGCCACCACACTCAGCTGAAAAAGGATTGTTGACAGCAAAGGATACCCCTATTAAATATAGGTCACAGAGTTTTAACCTATTCCAGGCTATCCACCTACCACAGAAAACTGTAGTTCATTGCCGGGGTTACCAGAAATGCCAATATGAGATTACCTAGAGAAACAGAGGGTTGGCCAAGGAGCTAGGGCCACCACCCTTTCTGGGGAACTCCTTATGGCCCTTATCCCAATTTTGCCTAACAACCTGTCCACCCTGCAATATGCTCAAGAGGAAAATAAATGGGTTATCAAACCTGAATATACCCTAGGACCTGAAAGACTGTATAAACTGGGAGATGTTCTTTATTTTCCTCAGGTCCTCCAGCAGAAATAAAGGCACTCCATAATTCTCGTCTCTTTGGGAGAGACCATCTCCATCAGCTGTAAACAAACAAAAAAACCCAAAAAACCCTCTTTTTTGACAAGTTTGTAAAGCCTGTCCATCTGTGTCTATAATAATCCTCAAGGCCTTAAGCTACGTCCCTTAATTCAGCCAGTTCAGCAAGAAGAAACCCACCCAGCTGCTTGAGAGGGTTTCTGAGGCAGAATTGCTTGAACCTGGGAGGTGGAGGTTGTGGTGAGCAAAGATGACACCATTGCACTCCAGCCTGGGCAACAAAAGTGTAACTCCATCTCAAAAAAAGAAAAATCATTTTTCTTTCCAAATGATGGCATAATTGTGAAATATTAAAAAGGCATATTTGGTATCTGTATAAATAGTAACTAACTCCCTGGTTCTTATTCTAGGGCTCTGGTCCGGACTGTGTGCTCTAGACTGGTGAGCTGAAGTTCCCAGAGATAGTTTTATAGACAAACGATTTGGAAGGCAACTGTAAGGTACTAGGCAAAACTGAGAAACAGACACAAAGAAAACTAATATAGAGTGAAATAATTGAGAAATTTGTATTAGAAAGGCAATTAAATCATAGTATACTGCTTGCATTTGTAGTAAATATTTGATTAATCCCATTATAGCATTTGCTGACTACAGGTTAAGGTAAAAATTATGCTATATTCTGAACTGCTGGAGGGGTGGAGAATGGTGACCAAATTGCAGATGATGGGCTCAGGTTGCTCCCTGATGGGCTGTGTTCTTCCAGGCCCTTGGTCCCTCACTCACCCAAGAATGGGGGAGAGGACCTTGCCAGATTTAGTAGGCTCTTAAGTAAATATTGAATCCCAAAGAATTTTGCAGAAAGTGATTTATTTAGGCAGAGAGAGAGAGAAAAAGGAGAAAGAAAAGCAGCGTCCATGTCTTCCCCCGTGCGTGAAAGTTAAAGACCTCTAAGCTCCCTGATGGGAGAAGTGGGCAGAGGCCTGATACTGGGAATTTCTTGCCTTTGAAACCATGCCCCCTTGTGAACCTGAAGAGAATACATTCTCTCAGAAGGACAGCTGAAGGAAAGGGTGTTCCCCATGTCAGTATCAAAGGGCAATTTCTAGAGTTTATATAGTTCAGGAAGTATTTCTCCTTTATGTATCATATTTTGTACATTTGCATGCATATACACATAACAAAAATGTATCAATTGGTTGAATTTTCTTATATTTTTACTAAGAATGGGCAAAGACAATTATTTTGTTTGAAGACGGTACTTACTGTAATAAAGAGTGTTTCCTCTGGAGTCAAAGTTGCCTGTGTTTTAAAACTGGCTCCATTATTGTGACCAAGTAATTTTTCTCTGTGGCTCTGTTTCTTTCTCTGTAAAATAAGGACAATAATAATAATATTAATAAAATGTGTAAAAAGCTGAATTTCATTAATACATGCTTTAATACAGAAATATCTTTTCAGTAAATAAAATTTTCAGCCAATAAATGGATATTTCATTTTTTAAAAATGTGGTATACATAGGAAATACAATTCAACATTAGAAGTGAGGAAATAATTGTCACGTGAAACAATATGAATAAATTTGGAGGACATTATGCTAAGTGAAAATAAGCCAGACAGTAGCTTATCTGCTTACCAGATACTTGGGTATTTAGAAAAAAGGAGCATTTGGAGAGATGTCTGTAAAATAATACATAATTACAGATGGCTAAACTATTGTACAGCATGGTGACTATAGTTTATCAATGAAATGTATTTTTGAAAAAATGCTAAGAGTGTTATGTGTGCTCTCACAAAAATAATTACTATTGAGTTTAAGCATTGGTTAATTACCTAGAATTAAGCCTTTGAGAGCATGTCTATGTATTTCAAATCACCATATCTCTCAATTAAAAATGCATTTTAAAAACTGTCATAGGATAATAACGTTTCAAATGCTGGTCTGTCTTGAATATTACAAAAAAGATACTTTTTGTACTGGTTTTGTAATATAATCACAGAAACTCTACTAGCATGTCCGAGACCCACAACACTATATATAAGACAAGATGATGTACTCTAGGGCTTTTGCTTTCAGCTTGAAGCACTTGGAGTTTCTAGTGCTGATGGTAATCATAGGGAAGACACTAAAAAAGGGTAACTAGCTGTGGTGTGAACAAAGTAAATGAATTTGCATTAAAAATCACTGAGAAAATGTTAAATGTAACAGCTGCCATACTCTCCAAAATTTTTCCTAAGAAAGTGACCAAGGACTTGGTTAAAGTTAGGTGACTAAGAATGAAAACTCTAGACCATGAATTGCATCGGATACTAAAACAAAAAATCCTAAGACAAATTCCTCAGGATTATAATATCAATCTGGACAAAATACATCATTCTAAATTTTGAATCTACAGAGACCATTCTATTTTCTAACACTTAAGATTCACATTCAAAAACAGAAGATTCTGCATGAAAAAGTAAGTTTTGCTGTATGTCAATAGAAAATTAAATGTACAATTCTTCCTCTAGCATTGTCTCCTAAAAATTTTACCCCAAGATATATTTACTCTTAAGAAATTTCAAAATTCTGATCTGTTTCTTCATATGGTGCCGACAATATGCAACCCACTCATATTAATTCTTTACTTATTCTAACTTACACTTAAAATTTTTCTTTCATAAAAAAATGCTGACTTCTCTTACCTGTGAACTGTAAAATACTTATCTAAATTAAGCAATCTAAATGCTGCATTGATAAGCTATAAATAACCTCAAATAGCCCAGTGAACAATGAGAAAACTGCAGCCTAACACAAGAAGGAGACAGGTTGTGACGCATGCATAGCTGTGGATAAACACATGAGGATACCACAAAACTATAGATAAGAGTCAGTTTTGCAGTCGGGGAACAGACGTCCTCTCCACATGCAGAATACATACCATTTCTTCACTATTGATATTTTCAATCTCTTGCTTGCAGCTACTAACCGACTCCAGAAAAATATGGCTAAATAGAGCATCTATTACACAACCATTACTTTGTTCACTACAATTATATATCAAAACATATCCATGACTTATAAAGATTTCCCAGCACTTACCTTAACAAATTGGCCCAATACATAAACTCATTTATGTCAATTAAAAAGTGAAACACTAAAGAAAACAGCTCATACAGGGTTCTCCAATTAAAGCAACAAAATGAAATGTTCTAGCTAGATAAAATGTAACAATACACAAATTGTGAACTTGCATCTAAAAATTTTGTGCAGTACAAAATTTTATAACACATTAAGCTCACATAATACTTCTTGAAGTGAAAACAAAAGAAATAAGTAAATTATAGCTCTAACATGAGTACTAGACAAAAACAATTTACATGGGGAAGAGTCTCAATTTATTAGATTTTACAGTAATTACAAAGAAACAGATTTGATCTCACACAAACACTGTTGCTTGCTCCATAGTTTTCTTAAGGTTTATTTTTAGAGCAGTATGTTTAAATAGTTAACTTCACGTAAATAAAGTCAAAGTCTGTATGTGTTTATAGGATAAATATGCTACATGTTCAAAGAGAAATATGAAAAACTTTTAAAAGCATTCAGAAATGTATAAATTATAATTATATAATATTACAATCATAAAACAATCTGTAGTAAATATTTGATGAAGAACTCTTTAATGGATTATTATGTGGTGTATGCCTGTATTCAAATAACCTATATATGCCATAAATATATATAGATACTATGTGTCTACAAAAATTTTAAGAAATGAAGAATATGGAATAAAAAGTCATTCGAATATGTTGTCAACTATGTTTCTCACCTGTATGAATTCTCCTTTGTACAGTAAGGGTTGAGGACCAAGTAAAAGCTTTACCTACGTTTAGTAAGGCCTGTAGAACTATTAAAGGCTTTGCCACATTCTTCACATTTGTAGGGTTTTTGCCAAGAATGAATTCTCTTATGTTGAGTAAGGTGTGAAGACCTATAAAAGGCTTTGCCACATTCTTTACATATGTAGGGTTTCTCACCACTATGAATTCTCTTATGTTTATGAAGGGATGAGGACTCAGTACTAAGATTTTGCCACATCCTTCACATTTGTAAAGTTTTTGTTCACAATGAGTGCACCTGTGTAGAGTAAGCTTTGATGACTGGTAAAAAAAACTTTGCGACATTCTTTCTTCACATGTGTAGGGTTTCTCTCCAGTATGAATATTATGTTCACTCAGGCTTCTGGACTGTCTAAAGGCTTTGCCACATTCTTTACATGTGTAGGGTTTCTCTCCAGTATGAATTTTCTTATGTTTATTCGGTGCTAAGGAGTGTCTAAAGGCTTTGGCACATTCTTTACATTTGTATGGTTTCTCTCCAGTATGAATTTTCCTATGTTCACTCAGTGCTGAGGACCAACTAAAGGCCTTGCCACATTCTTCACATGTATAGGGTTTCTCTCCAGTATGAATTTTCTTATATTTAGTAAGGCTTGTAGAACTATTAAAGGCTTTGCCACATTCTTTACGTGTAGCGTTTCTCTCTGGTATGAATTCTGTTTGTCAAAGTTTAAGGATAAGATAAAGATTTTGCCACATTCTTCACATGTGAGGGGTTTCTCTCCAGCATGTATTCCCCTTATATTGAGTTAGTTGTAGAAACCTATGAAATGATCTGCCACATTTTTTACATTTAAATGGTTTCTCTCCGGTATGTCTTGTCTTATGTTTGTATGAATTTGAAAATTTATTAAAAACACTGACACACATATTACATTGAATTATTTTGCTGGGGGTAGTTGACAAGCATTGGTAAAGTCCATTATAACCTCCTGTCTGTACCTTACACTCATTTACACTTTTACAACCTTTTCTTAATTGGACATAAGAATTTACACTTTTCTCCTATCTTCTCAGTGCAAGTTTGTGGAATGAATCTTCTATGCCCTGCACTGGCCAAAGGTCTTGGGTGAAATGAGAATACATCACTGAAAGAAATAAAAATAACAAATTATTCCACTTACTAGATTCATATGAATATACTTTACAAATCTAATAAACTTAGACAAAGTACATTAGTAAAATGGCATAACAAAATACCACAGGCCATACATCATTCCCTCACAGATATATACAGATAACCAACATACACTGATCAAAATGCCTTTGTGCAAAATCTCTAAATGAGTTAACTGTATGTAATGCACAATGCCAAGAGCAACACAGAACAGGAAGGAACATTTGTTACATATACACCGCTCTTCCTCCTCCCCAATATAGTACTGTGTCTTCAGAAATAAACTGCCAACTCTTGGCTTCTTTCTTTAAAGAGAAGAAAAATACTGACACACATATCTTTACTTTGTGTTTTGGTGGTAACTGCTGAAAGAAATAGTAGTATGCTTTGAAAGAACAGCTTGGGTTTGCTGAGACAAAATGTAAATGTTTCAGGAGCAGACTGCAGTGTTAAATACAGAGTAGGTAAAGCAAGTGACCATTGAGAAGAAATGTGAACAAATGCTTTTAACTGAAAAACATATAATTCCAGGGAAGACACATACTTAGAACATGTATGAGAGGCTCCTGTAATCTCTATCAAAGACAACTGGTTGCTGACTACGTCAGGACAAAGCAACGTTGTAAAATTCTAACTAGCCAGGTGCGGTGGCTCAAGCCTGTAATCCCAGCACTTGGGAGGCCGAGGCGGGTGGATCACGAGGTCAAGAGATCGAGACCATCCTGGTCAACATGGTGAAACGCCGTCTCTACTAAAAATACAAAAAATTAGCTGGGCATGGTGGCACGTGCCTGTAATCCCAGATACTCTGGAGAATTGCCTGAGCCCAGGAGGCGGAGGTTGCGGTGAGCCGAGATTGTGCCATTGCGCTCCAGCCTGGATAACAAGAGTGAAATTCCGTCTCAAAAAAAAAAATCTAACTAATAGCATTTTGTTAATCTTCAAATAGCAAGCAAAGATTATAATGCATATGAAATATCAGCAGAACATGGTCAAATTTAAAAATTTTCAGAAAACCACAAAAAATGAAGATGTACAAGTTTTTAAAAATTTAACCTGAATAATTCTCAATGAGTTAAATGGGAACACATAAATAAAACATTATCATAAGAAAATAAATAACTTTCTGAAAAAGATTTGCACATACACAAATATAAGGTTCTGTACCATTATAATAGTGCAGAAAACATTTTAATCTCTAAAATTTTAAAGATAAAAGCATAGAAATAAACTTAACCATAGTCTGTTAATTTACAACATAAAATATGATTAGTGACATCAATAACAAAGTTGAGGCCAAATGTAATGAGGAAGAATTTACAAATGCAACGATTTTTGGCAGTTTAAAATACATTATTTTAACATTAAGAAATTTTATTTAATTCCCAAGATACTACAAAGTATTTATAGATACACAAAAGTATAAGGGGACCTATCAATAGAAAAATTTTAAAAAGACGCTGGGCGCGGTGGC